ATGATAATAATAATATGCAAAATGTTAACCGGCTGGGAATAATGTGAGAATTGGATGTTAATTTTTACGTGACGTAAACTCACACGATGACCGCCTCATCTTTCAGAGACCAGCTTCTTCTATCTTCGTCCAGCATGAGGCGACCTATGTCCACCCTCCTGCCCCTCCTTCTGCTGGTGTTGGGAGTTGCCCTACACTCGAGCATCGCCGCGTCCACACAGCGCTCTGAAGACCCAAACAGCGTCACCTCAAACGGCGGCAGTCAACAAGAGGAGCAACAAGACAACACACCAGATGTAGCCGCGTCTAGTCAGGGACCTGCAGCGAGCCTGAGTTCTTCCCAGCTCTCTCTTCCACAGCCTGCGCCGTCTGCTGAAAGTGATGCCAGGCCTGACTATTCTGTGTCTGTGGTCAATCTTGAAAAGCAGGACCCCGACGTGCTGCCCCCTGTGTTCGAGAAGATTGTGGAGAAGCTCTTCGATGAGTACGAGAGAGAAGATCTGAGCCAACAGGGAGAAGGGGAAAGCCAGTCTCGGCAGAAGCGACAGGCGGGGTATGGGGGTTACGGAGGATCTGGGGGTTACGGAGGATCTGGGGGTTACGGAGGATCTGGGGGTTACGGTGGTTACGGAGGGTACGGGGGTAGCAGTCGGCAGCTTCTGGGTCAGCTAGCCTACAACCTCGGCCAACAAGGGAGTTCACACGGTCAAGGTTACGGCCACAGCCAAGGCTACGGTAAAGGTTACGGCTATGACCTCCAGCCCCACTACGGAGCCAAGATCCCACAAGACGTGAGCTACGGCTACAGTCATGGCAAGAGCCCGATGATCTCTTTTGTCAAATCCTTCAAACCCGGCAAGACATACGTGGACAAGGGTCACGTGGTGCGCAACTATTACCGTTATGGCAACTACCAGGTGGCACTGCAACACTACAAGCTCATACCCACGGTCAAGGTCATTCCTTACACCAGTTACCACAAAATTCCCTACAAAGGTCACGTGCAGGTCAAGAACAGTTACAAGGCGTATATCTGCAAAGACTGTTACCATGGTTACCCCAAGATTGATGTCTATGAAGACAAGAAGCCCTACAGCTACATGGTCCGGCGTTTCGTCTATCTGCCCAAGTCCTACAATATCAATAGCTACGCCCATGGCGATTCCTACGGCCACGGTGATTCTTATGGTAGTGGCGATTCTTACGGCCACGACGATTCTTACGGCTATGGCGGGTCGAGCTACGGTGGGTCCAGCTACGGATACGGCGATTCCTATGGTCATGGTGATTCTTATGGATCTGGCGGATCCGGCTACGGCCATGGCGATTCTTACGGATCTGGCGGATCCGGCTACGGCTATGGTGATTCTTATGGTCATGGTGGATCCGGCTACGGCTATGGCAACAAGTAAAGAAATGACTTTGAAACTAAGAATACCATTGACAATGTAACCTTGCCGCTTCCGTGGAAATCAAAACCAATTCAGTTGATTGCTAATGGTTTTTTGCTTGTTATTATTTAAACTTTTGTTATCTTGTTTTCACAGCTTCGTTTTCACAAATATAACACATTCCTTGTGCAGTGTTGACAGTTTTCATGACCTGACAAGTCGATTAATGAAATAAAATATCACATTTAAAAATGGCATGTGTTTATTCATATTTTCGTATGTTTGTTTGTTGGTCTTCTTCCCCTCCCCCACCCTCCTCTCTCT